TGCAATTGTCTAGAAAGCATGAGATAGGGTAGTGGATTTTTTCAATTTGTGGCAACTGTTAATCTTTTAAATAATCGTAGTTTTTCTTTTTTCAAAACAAATGCTCTTTGGCAGTTAATCAGTTGCTTCTCTTGAACCCCTAAATAGTTAGAATGATTGTGTGGGCAAGATGACGCTTAATACTTCCAGCTGGGCAAGCTTTTTTAAAGCATTATTTTCTGGTCAGGTTTCTAGTCCCTGTGTATATGGGATGTGGGATTGGTGAGAGCAGCCGTTAGCTCAGGAAGATTTTGTTTTGGCCCTCTTCCGTTATGATTATGCTTCTCTATATTGTCTTGCTTGCTGATTGATTTATGGCGTTTAATTGTACTCTACTGTATATTTTGTTGTAATGTGCTGTTCATTATATTTTGGGCCTTTGGGCTGAAGACCGGGATTTAAATAATAACAACAACATCCTCCCATCTTTCAGAGTCAACCTAAAACAGTTTTTAAAAAACAGACAAGGAATACTTCAAGGGTTGGGAAGAGGGGGTTATGCCTAGAAGCAATTTTGCTTGGGTGCCGCTGACAGGCTGGTTGAGACAGTTGCCGAGACAATATATGTGATTATTTTGGTACCACATAAATGTTGGATGAGGATGATGATGATCAGGTCAACGAATGTGTGTAACTGGAACAGGTTTACTGATGGCACAGTGTCAGGATACCGTTTCAAATCAGGCATAAAAGAAAACAGTTGAAATTATGACAGTGGAGAACTTCCAACATTTGCTGTAATTCAAACTCACAAAATCTGAAGGAGCCAACTTCCTCTTGGCATCTTATCACACTATGGCTTCTTTGTAGAGTTCAAGAATGTCTTAATTCCTTCCCCAAGAAAACCAATCCGTCTCCTGATTTTAAAAAAATATTATTTCAGTTCCCTGAAGAGAAATTTTAACTTGGCGACCATACAGCCATCTTATCCACGTGAATATCCTTTGTCGATATTCATTTTATATCTGGGGACCTGGCATTTCTCTTTTAAAATGCCGGATTGTAGAGTGTGGCGCTTTGGTGAGTAAACCTCCCCTTCCAAAAAGCGTTTCGTCTCCTGAGAAAACTGCGTTAGCAAGCAGATGGATGCTTCCAGCTTCAGCAGGCCTGGAAGGAGCCTGCTTCATCTGTGCTTCCTTCTGTTCTTCTGGATCGATGTCAGGCCTGCTTTTCCTTCCCCAATCCGAGACGATAAAACTCGTTTCCTAGTCCACAAGATGATTTTTAATCTTTGTTAAATAATAATAATAAGCATTTCCAAGGCAGCAGGAAATGTGCTCGTAACCCACCATCACCCCATTGCTATGAGTGAAGGAGCACTTGACTATATTTCTTAATTTGGCATGCCTGATAAATAAGACCGATTATTTTGGCATTAGAAAAATTGGGATTTGGAATACAGTGGTACCTTGGTTTACTAACTTAATTTGTTCCGGAAGTCCATTCTTAAACTGAAACCGTTCTTAAACTGAGGCGCACTTTCCCTAATGAGGTCTCCTGCCACCAGTGCCCTTCCACCGTTTGACTTCCATTCTTAGACTGAGGTAAAGTTCACAAACCAGGACACTACTTCCGATTTTGCGGAGTTCGTAAACCGAATAGTTCGTAAACAGGGCTGTTCTTAAACCGAGGGTACCACTGTATTTATAATGGGGTGACAAGAGAGAATCTGTGGGAAAGGCCCAAACAGGCCAATGGTTTAAAAATAGATGCATATTCCTTCAAATGTCCGGAATGTCCTAAGGTTGTAATCGCAAACACATATTCTAGGAAGTGTCTAGTTGAATTCAGTAGGACTCCAGCCTCTTTTTTTTACCACAATTTCCATTCTTGACTATATGGCCAGCCAGAGAAGTCCTATTATTTTGGGGTAATGACTTGGATCCCAAGTCTAGCCCACTACAGAGGAAGTTCCAAGACAAAAATCCCCACTCAGCCACTGTCTCTCAGAGTGATCAATCTCACAGGATCCTCGTGAGGATAAAATTTGGGTGGATGGAGAGCCTCGCATGTCGCTCTGCATTCCTTGCAGGAATGATGAGATAGAAGCAATAACAACCACCGCAACAACAACCACGATCATGGGCTGCTTGAAGAGAAGCCATAGTTGTTGGCTAGCTTTGGGGTGAATGAATTGTGCAGGGCATGATATAGAAGGGGCAAAGGAAGGAGGTGGAAGCAAAGTGCCAGGGAACATCTTCCGTTGATGCTTCTTGCTAACATATAGCACTTGCCTTTCTTACAGGCTGTTCCTTATTCCAGAGAATTTAAGCAGAAGTACGACTACTTCAGGAAGAAGTTAAAGAAACCAGTAAGTATGGTTGGAGCTGATAGTCTTCAGAATCATAGAAGTGTAGAGTTGGAAAGAACCAGGGGTACCAACTTGAATAATTTATTTTTTTTAGGGGGGTTGATGATGCATAATGTGGTGTGCAGGGGCTGGAGGGACCCAGGCAGTGGTGGCTGGGAGGGTGCTGGACTTCACACACAGCCCTCTCTTTCCAGCAATATCCCAGTGCATATCTTGCAAACTTGCCCTTTCAATTGTTCAATCATGGCAAAGGCTCCCGTTTCCAAAAGGGACGGGGTAGGGTGGAGGGTTCTGATCTCTTCACCATTTTTAATGGTTCTCTAAGATGTGGAGGGGAAGGTAAAGGGCAAAAAATGAAGATAAAGGGTATTCTTCAGCCCTTCCCAATACTCAAGCAGACTCCCCCCCCATGCATCCCCCATAAGCATGGCTTGGGGGGGGAGGGCACTTTCGCTTTTCGCCTCCGGTGGCAAAATGGGAGGGGCCAACCCTGGAAGCATTGCCTAACAATTAGCATTCTCAAGATGCTGGTCCTGATCCAGCCCCGCAACTGTGCAATTAGATTTCCAAGTTTTCTTAAAGTGGAGTCTATAGCTCTGCATGTACCTGTGTGAAGTAGTTTCCCCCTCTATTGAAATGAATGGGGATGGTTTGTGAACTGGAGAGAGATGCACACCTGAGCTTATGAGCTTCCAGGGAATCATTGGGTGAGGTAGATAAACTGTAGTCCAAATTAAATGCTAACTACATTTAAGATCCTTTGATTGTGGCAGAACTTTAAATGGGATTTTGCCTATTATTTATATTTATATGTATTTATAAGGGGCGCGGGTGGCGCTGAGGGTTAAACCAGAGCCTAGGGCTTGCCGATCAGAAGGTCAACGGTTTGAATCCCCGCAACGGGGTGAGCTCCCGTTGCTCGGTCCCTGCTCCTGCCAACCTAGCAGTTCAAAAGCACGTCAAAGTGAAAGTAGATAAATAGGTACCGCTCCAGCGGGAAGGTAAACGGCGTTTCCGTGCGCTGCTCTGGTTCGCCAGAAGCGGCTCAGTCATGCTGGCCACATGACCCGGAAGCTGTACACCGGCTCCCTCAGCCAATAAAGCGAGATACGTGCTGCAACCCCAGAGTCGGCCACGACTGGACCTAATGGTCAGGGGTCCCTTTACCTTTACTATGTGTATTTCTATTTATCCTGGCTCTTTCCCAGTCTGGTACTCAAGGCAACTTACATAAATTGGTTGGAAGTTAGACCTCCATCGAAATCAGTGTTTAAGAGTCACATATTACCAATTTTAAAAAATGTGATAATGATGTTGCTGAGGGACTTTTAGAATATTAGATGCACATTTCCGGCACATGTTTACATACAGCAGGTGATAGCTATATGTGAACCCCGCCCACCCCCAAAATCTTGTGATGAAGGGAGGTATATAAATTTAATAAATGGAAATAAACTAATAAACAAAACCATACTAAGATATCAGTGGGCTTACGTTACTCAGTGGGTCTCACCCAGAATCTCTGGCCCCATCTAGTGCAGGCAATCAGAGTAGGTGCACATTGAAATACCATTTTAGCTCAAATGTGAATTGTACAACATTTAGCATCGTGGACTGAACTATCCTTGTTGCTCAAAGCTAACCCTGTTCCCAATTTTCAGCAAAAGATCCCCGGAACCTGTAAAAATACTTTCCTTTTTATTCCTTACACTTTTCCCAGTCAATATTATATCAAAGGACTATATTATCAATGTGTTTTCAAACCACCTCTAAACAGGCTGCGTTTGGCCACCATATACCATAGAAGAGGACATTGTGTCCGATTTTACGCTCTTAAGTGTTTTATCTCCTCTTAATGATACAAGCAGGGAATAATAAGTTAAATGCATTCAACCCAGTGACTGAAATACTTTTCTCTCCCCAAAGGCTGATATACCAAACAGATTTGAGATGAAACTCCACAGAAATAACATTTTTGAAGAATCGTATAGAAGAATCATGTCGGTGAAGAGACCAGATGTGTTGAAAGCCAGGCTCTGGATAGAGTTTGAGTCGGAAAAGGGCCTTGACTATGGCGGTGTGGCCAGAGAATGGTTCTTCCTGTTGTCCAAAGAAATGTTCAATCCATATTATGGCCTCTTTGAATATTCAGCAACGTAAGTTCATCATATACAAAGTGTTTCCCCTTTTATTGTCTTATAATTCAATACACTCGAAGACTTGCCAGGGGGTTTGGTTTATCTTTTCTGTCTTTCAATGTGCACTTTTGTTTTCGTGCAAAAATAATTTGGTTATTGAGCTGAATATGAAGATGTATTGTACTATACTTTGAGCAGTTCACTTTACCAAAGATTGCTGCACATGATCGATCTCCCTTGACTTCTCCTGCTTTTCCTTGCCTGGGTAAATTAAGTAGCCTGATCTCAATTTGCTGGAAAGATTTTCCTTCCCAGCCACACAGAATTAATGGGGGTTGGCTCCTTGCACTGGACCTCACTTTGTACAGATAACTTGCATCCTGTGTGCATTTATCTTGTGTGCATTCAGCTTTATGCGCTTGGCAAAAAGAAGTTTATAAATTAAAAGGGGGCAGAAAGGGGTGGGTGTCTGGAGAAAAAGAATCCTATCTGCCATTGAGCCCAATGTTTTTAGACTACACGGGATTTTGGCTTTATGCGCTGCTCACGGAATGTAACCCAAGCCTAAGCTGAGAGTCGCCATGAGTTGCTACTGCTAGATCAGGCACCCCCAAACTTGGCCCTCCAGCTGTTTTGGGACTACAATTCCCATCATCCCTGCCCTCTGGTCCTGTTAGCAATTCCCATCATCCCTGCCCACTGGTCCTGTTAGCTATGCCTGTGCTAGATGATCAAACAATTCTAAAGTGACACCTGGGGATGGAAGCCAAGTGTTAAAACACAGTTTAGGGGAGAAGGTGTAGAACAAAACATCCCAGTGTTTCTCATCAAGAGGGGTAGGGAGTGTATGCAAGTTTGCAGTACTCTTTATAGTTATCCTCTCGCAATGTTACAAAAAGATATTCCCTTCCACTTATTGGAATGGATTTTCTAATAATAATAATAATGATGATGATGATGATGATAATTGGAAGCAGCTGATAAATGAATGAATGGATAAATACATTTTTTTAAAAATAATTAAAAGACAGCTTGTGGGTGTGGGGAGCTGATGCCAGTGGTTCAGCCAGCATTTGATTTGGTGCTATGCATATTTTTATTTTCACCCAATGGCTATTTTTTCTGTTCCACCCATCTATACCTTTATTGTTGTTAGTTTGTTGAATTTTTATATCGCCCTTCACCCAATGATCCCAGCAGAGTTCACAACAGAAAAATCAAAATGAGAATACAAAATACATAATAAGAACGAGCCAGTAACTCCCCTCCCACAAATACATGGAATATGAATCGGCCGAATACTTGATTGAAGACCTTTAGTATTCATTCCTTTTATAACTCTTCCCCACTCATGAGACAAAAAACAAAAAACCAAATGTAAGGATAGAACCATAAAAATTACGTTCATATCCAGAGATGATACCTGGACATTTACAAGGCCTTGCTTAGCTAAGTAGCCAGAAAAACACATGCTTGGCTTGCAGAAGATCCCTCATTCAGTTGTTGGCATCTGCAGTTCACAGAATCTCAGGTAGCAGTGCTGTAAAAAGACGTATCGATAACATCATGGCATTAAAAACAGGAGTGATTCACATTTATGTCAATTGTTAACTTCCCTTTACCAAAGGTAATATGAAGGAACCTTAATTATAATTGCTCCCTCTCTTTGGTTTCACACATTCTAAATCATTCTAGGTCAGTTAATTCCATGTCCCACCTTACAGTTAACTCTAAAAAGGTTGCTTAAAAGATGGAATAATTGATTACAGAAAACACTTGCCATGCAGGGCGTCAATACCTGTATCACTTCCCTTTATGGGTTCAATACACTGAGACAATGGATTAATAGGAGTGTCTGTATTTATCACACTGATTTCCTTTCGCTGGCTGTGGGCACCAAATGAGGCCAGGGCTTCAGAAATGGTTAGAAAGGGAACCAGCAATGGTACAAACTATTTTCCTCGTTTAGCAGCACTGACCCTGTTTCTTCACGGAAACCTTCCCTTAGAAATAGCAGTGCTTTTACAAGGTCTTAAGGTTTTATTGCACCAGGCAGAGAAGGGCCTGTTTTTCTAGTTCAGAAGGGGTCTTTCTCCCCTTGCTCTTCCATCTCACAGCAGCGCTGCAGCAGGAGGAGACAAACTTCTCCTCCTAGCTCAGCGCTGTTATGGGGGGAGAGAAAAAGCGCTGTGGGTTTCTGCAGGCAGTGACTGTGTGTGGAGGGGTCATTTTGGCCACGCTTCCTACTCCTCCCTCACATGTAGCCTTCAGAGGGGTGGTCAGCTTTCAGTGTGGCCCTCGGGCAGAAAAGTAATCTGCACACCTTCTCTGGAGGTGAATAATGGAAATATTCCCAGTTCATGCTGGGATAGCCGGGTCAATCTGCTGCAGCAAACTCAAAGAGGATTAACCATTAACTTGTGCGCCATAAGTTTCCATGGACTTCTGCCTACTTCATCAAACACATGAAGTGTGTATGCACAGAGAGAGGGGGGGAAAGTGGCTGAAAAGACACTGAAATGTAAGAATGCATAGCCTACAGTAACATAAAGAAAATTCAACATGTATAAAATATCAGTACAGTTACTGCACATAGCAGCGGGATCTTGCTTGTTTATCTCATCTGCACCAGGAAAGTGACTGCACACACAATAAACCAGTTGGTCTTTAAGGTGTCACACAATGCTCCTGTCTGTTAGCTTGATATGGGAGCAAGTATTTGAATAGCTTGCATGTTCCCGGTGTGTGTATCAAATAAGCTACATCTCTGAAGGAATATTGTGCCGCTTGGCAAAAAGCAAAAGCCAGCCAGATGTGACGCCAATTTCTTATATCCTTTTCTTTTTCTTTTTCTTCTTCTTTTTTAAATTAAGGGACAACTATACTCTGCAGATCAATCCTAATTCAGGTCTTTGTAATGAAGACCATTTGTCTTACTTCACCTTTATTGGACGAGTTGCCGGGTTGGCAGTGTTTCATGGGAAGCTTTTAGATGGTGAGTAATATACAAGATTGTGACTGTAGAAGTAATTCATAACATGGATTAAATGCTATAATGCCCTCTCGCTGTTTTATGGCCATTCTGCTTAACACTGGCTTTTTCATGGAGCAAAATAAAATGAGCGATGTAAATAGTTCAGAGGTTCTGCTGAGTAGCAATATCTTCTCCTCCATATAAACACCTTGGGAAAAGCAAAGAATTTATTAAGGTGGCGCTGCAAAAGCAGCAGCTGTGTAAAACGCCATACCAAAATGGTGTCACCTTTTAAAAATCTGTTGTTTATTTCTGCAGCACAGCTGATAACAAACCAAGCTAAATTTCTCCTGTTCCACAGCTGCTTTCACAGGGGTAGTGCAGGTCTCAGCAAGGGAAACTAAAAACCTGCAGTTGGGTGTAACCTTATGTACCTTTCCCCTTTGGAAACTGCCATCGGTCTTTTTTGCACCTCTTAATAAGCCAAAATATATGGCTTACTGAGATGGTGCACAAAGAGGAGTTTGCAGCTCCTCAACGATCTTCTTAACCCATCGGTAGGCAAACTAGGCTGGATCCGGCCCAATCACCTTCTAGATCCGACCCGCGGATGGTCTGGGAATCAGCGTGTTTTTACATGAGTAGAATGTGTCCTTTTATTTAAAATGCATCTCTGGGTTATTTGTGGGGCATAGGAATTCATTCATTTATTTATTTTCCCAAAATATAGTCCGGCCCCCCACAAGGTCTGAGGGACAGTGGACCGGCCCCCTGCTGAAAAAGTTTGCTGACCCCTGTTCTTAACCCCTGCACGTAGCATTTCATGTATCGAATGGCGCAATCACTCAAACATGCACGTTTACACCCAAAAACTTTAATCCAACATCTTAGATCAAGGAACGAAAGTGCTTACTCACTGCAGGCTAAAGCAAAGCGGCAGTTATGCAAAACATCGCTAGGATATAAACCGACGTTTTAACTTTGCTTTCTGAAGAGCTGTGTAAGTTATGTAGGTTTAGTGACTCTCTGTTCCACCAGTCTCCATCTTCTCCTTCCCCTGTGCAGCGGCGCTTGCGAGCTTTGGGCTTGCGGCCATGGGGCCCTGCCCCTCCTCCCACCTGCCTTCCCCAGAGATGCAAAAGGGCTTCCTTCCCACACAGCTATTGTTTGCCATTTGGGACCCCCTCCCAGGGAGCAGGCTGCTGCTGTTGCCACGTTAAGACACAGGGACCCCCAAAGTGCAGTGCCCAGGGTCCAGTATACCTGAAGGAGCGTCTCCACCCCCATCGTTCAGCCCAGACACAGGTCCAGTGCCGAGGGCCTTCTGGTGGTTCCCTCACTGCGAGAAGCCAAGTTACAGGGAACCAGGCAGAGGGCCTTCTCGGTAGTGGCACCCGCCCTGTGGAACGCCCTCCCACCAGATGTCAAAGAGTAAAACAACTACCTGACATTTAGAAGACACCTGAAGGCAGCCCTGTTTAGGAAAGCTTTTAATGTTTAATAAACTATTGTATTTTAATATTCTGTTGGAAGCCGCCCAGAGTGGCTGGGGAAACCCAGCTGGATGGGCGGGGTATAAATAATAAATTGTTGTTGCTGCTCCGATTCACACACACACACACACCCAGGACTGCCCTGAGGAGAGCAACACTCTTGATCAGGATTCTACCTAAGGATTAGAGGGACCAAGCTCTTGGCTTCACTCCAAGTTATCGGCTTGTTCAGTGGGTTGTTAATCCCTGCAAAATGTCCAGTGTTGAATATACTGCCCCTTCAGCTGATGGGTGTGTTGTTTTTTCCCTTGACAGCCTGCTTTCATATTTTTGTCTTGCTTCTCTTTTCCCCCTGTTCCGCCGGCAGCTTTGCTATGCCTGCCTTGTCTAGGTATTTGAAAACGCCCCTTTCTTTTATATATTGCTCTAGAGAGAGGCTACCATTTTAAATTAAACTTTGTTACTTTGCCTGTTCAGGTTTCTTCATTAGGCCTTTCTACAAGATGATGCTGGGAAAGCCAATAACCCTGAAAGACATGGAGTCCGTGGTAAGTAGAACGCTTGGAAAGCTTATTAGTGTTTTCATTTATGTGCGTTTCTGCTTCTCAGGGGAAATTATTAAATGCCAATACTTCCTGGAAGCTTCACAGTTTGAGGCACAAGGGTAGTATTTTTGAGGTTCAGGACAAATGTGCTCCTTAGCTTTTGTTCTTTCTCTGTCTCCAGTGAGGTGTTCCCTTGCCTGACAAGGTAGCAATGTGAAGCCCTTAATGCAATTAAATTCAACAGGAAAAGATTTATGCAATATTTTTTTGCTCGGTACATTCGAACGTGCAAGCGCTCCCTGTAAAAACCGCAGCCTTTCCAGAGAAACCACAAGCCGCTGCAAAGATTTGCTCCTGGCTTACTGCCCATGGCTTTTCTGGGCGAGACGGATCGTGATTCCTGGTTCACACCTAATGCCAAGCCAAACAATGACTTTGCTATTGGCATCGAAACAGCAGCAGGACCAGCCACACGCTTCAGCTCTGCTTTGGTTTTGCATTACATGCCATGGTGATACACATGGGCTGGAGAGGCCTGGGTTCAAATTCTCACCCAGTGGTACTGAGAAGTCTTATTTCTCTGCCTAACCTACCTCATAGGGATGCGGGTGGCGCTGTGGGTTAAACCACAGAGCCTAGGACTTGCCGATCAGAAGGTCGGCGGTTCGAATCCCCACAACGGGGTGAGCTCCCGTTGCTCAGTCCCTGCTCCTGCCAACCTAGCAGTTTGAAAGCACATCAGAGTGCAAGTAGATAAATAGGTACCGCTCTGGCGGGAAGGTAAACGGTGTTTCCGTGCGCTGCTCTGGTTCACCAGAAGCGGCTTAGTCATGCTGGCCACATGACCCAGAAGCTGTACACCGGCTCCCTCAGCCAATAAAGCGAGATGAGCGCCGCAACCCCAGAGTCGACCACAACTGGACCTAATGGTCAGGGGTCCCTTTACCTTTAACCTACCTCATAGGATTATTGAGAGGAAACCCAGCTTGGGGGGACGATTTAAATCCTACTTTTTAATCTTCTAAGCTGTCCAGAGTGCTGCTTTTGCACTAGAAATTTGGAATATAAATGTGTCAATTAATAAATAAGCCATACCTTCTTGGGTGAAAGGCTAGGAGCGTGGTTATAGCTCTAACCACGTGGTTAGAGCATGCTGCTGATAACCACCGAGGTTGCAGGTTCGATCCCCTGTGAGACAGCTGCATTTACCTATATTGCAGGGGGTTAGACTAAATTAGCCTTGAGGGGGGTGTCCCTTCCATCTCTACAATTCTGTGATTCTGTGTGTGCTTATTAATTGACACTGGGCATAAAGTGAATGTGCATTTAGGGATTTATCTGAATGCGCACCTGAGTGAGAATGCAACCTCTGTGCACTCTGTGGTGTTCACTTCCAATATGCATTCTAATGCCATTCCCCACCCACATTTTCGCGCAACTAGTTACCTTATTTGTATGGAACATAAATCCAGGTCAAAAGGAAATGATGGACTATCCAGATCTCTGTACATACAATGCTTAAGGACAA